AAAGTTGAACATAAATTTAACCACTTGATATATGAAGTAAAAATAGTATTAATTCTCTTTGAGAATCTAAGTCTCGACTTGAAGGGTAGAATATAAACTCAAAGCCAACTATACGCGAACATGCTAAATATTATATGATTTTTTTTTATAAGAGCATTAGAAAATAATATTAGCTCTTACAAAAACAAAAGTAAATAAAAAATAAAATCGTGATACTTAAAAAGAATAAAAACCTTTAAAATCTATTATTAATCCTATTAATAAAAATTAATTTTTTAATTATATAAACTTATTGATTAGTTTCTTAGATAAAAGTATACTAATTTTTGAGTTTAAAAAATTAAAGATTTTTTCATAACTCAAATTATCTTAAGAAACATATCTTTTTGAATAATAAATTACAAATAAGATGCCTAAAAGATGACAATAGTTTGATACAAAAATTTTAAGTTTAGATACTATAAACCCTAACTATATTATGGAGTTTGGTCTAAAACATGGTAGGAAGAAGTTAATATAGAAGTTGAAACAGAAACAAAAGATTTTGTAATACCTTAATGTTTATACATATGCATTGAATGTAAACTTAATTATAAAAACTTTAACATTACAGTTTTAAATAATACTCAAAACTTATTAAAGCTGAGTTATTAATGTATTTGTAGTAAGGCTAAAAACAAAATTGAATTATATCCATTAGTAGCAATCAGTACATGCTATCAACAAGTTTTTGAAACAAAGACTGAATACTCTAGTTTGACTGTTATAGGGTTCGAAAATGAAATTATCATTAAATAATTGATTGCTGATATAGTATTTTTTCTAATATTTTTTCATATCAATAAGCTTAATGAAGTGGTATCAAGTGTTGGTAATCCATATAAAGATAGATTTTATGGTATTAATACTAGATTTATTTCTTTATTTATAGCACGTTATCATAGAGAACAGCACCTATTTGTGCTAAAAATTGAAGAATATCAATGTGTTTTAGAAATCTATTTAGAGTTTATATGTATTAATAGAATTATAGAAACAGATCTGAATAAAGTTTAGAACTAAGTAGAACTTTTAAAAAAATATGCTGATCATATCTTTTTGGAATTATAGACTTGTTAGTTCAAAAACATATAAACATATTAAAATCAAATCATCTATATGTATTGTTAAAGAATAGATAAACAGACAACAACTAGAAAAAGTGTTTAATCATTATATAAAATCATGAAAGATTGCTAATACAATAATTAACTAGCTAATTCTTTTTTGTAATTGGTTACAACAAGAAAGCTCTGTTATTTTTTTTTTTTTTTTTTTTTTTTTTACTTTATACAAATACTATCAGCTGAAACTTTATTAGTTATTTGATATTAGATAATGATATATATTGTGAGGATACAACTAGTCACATGTACAACTTTAGATTGTCTATTTAAATAGTCTGCCTGAAGGTTCTACACTAGTTGCAATACCTGAAATCTATTTGAAGATTCCCTATTTAAACCCTCTGGCCCTATGACTTAC